AGGTGTTTTTGAGCGGGTGAATGATATTGTCAAGCACTTTGAGATGTTAAATTGCAACTGGTTCTCCTTACTCCAAGCTGCTACTCTATTTATGTTGCTCTGAAGTCTTTGACAATCCTCAGCGCTCCTTATAGGGAGTGATAGTTTGAGCCATCTTAGCTCTCACATCCACCATGGTTTTCTTTTTAGAACATCATGTACCACAAACTAATAAGTACATCATGTACATACGGAAAAATATAATTAGACTTGATAAAAAAATTAACCGTCTTCTGTAGTAAAGTAAGGGTTGTGGTGGTATGCTAAAGGTTTCTCAATTTAGATGGCCAAATTACTAAATAAATTAATGATTTTTATTTTTGGCTTCAAAACATTTTTTTAACCGGTTCAGTGCGTTCACGCCAGGCGTGCCATCGATTACTTTTGTGTGTGGCGTATGACACGCGAGTCGTGTCTTTTTAAAAATCGTTATAACTCGCTCAAATTGCTTTTTTGGAAAATTTTTCCAGAACAAAATATTCATTATTTTGCGAGTAGTTCATGCATGCAGCTTCGTTTCTGGATATTTTGAAAATTTGAAATTTTTAGGGGTTGAGAACCTTTCTTTTAACGTGTACATGGTACTATTTTTACTTTGTGGGTTTTTAATTATGTTATGGAAAAATTGTCTAATAAGTAACAAATAACAGCACTCATTACGATCGCTCACAAACTCAAGTTGTAAATAAATTTCTGAAAAACAAGTCTCCTGTTAAAAAAAAACAATGCGTTTGTCTTATTGTTTAATTTTGCTTAAAATGGTTGAACTGCCGTCTTATTACTATCATATGGCCGATAGACCTACGAAGTACCATGTGCTCTTGTGATATGGTATAAGGTTTATTTTTGCTTGAAACAGTTCGAAACCGTTCATGCATAAAAAAAGTTCGCTAATAAATAGTTTTTGTCATTCCGCCGCCGTATAGCGCCGGCGTTTTTTTCCTTTTGAAAACACTTGTTTTGCTATTCTTGCTAATTAGACGTTTTCAGATCGACATTTGTAAATATCAATGAATGATATACCTTTTTTTTTTTTAATTAAGGTTCTTCATTGTTTGATATTTACAAATGTTATTATTAGGTTAAAATTTAATTTAATAAAAACCAAGGCTTCCAGGGTGATTTAGTAGTACCTACTTATATAAATATTTTTTTTATAACAACAAAAAATAGTACAAAAGGTTTGTAATATCTTCATAAAAAAGTCACTTACTCTCAATTTCAAAGAAAACGCGTAAAAAAACACGTAGTTACCCACTAAAAACAAGTATCCTTCCATTTGTAACTTATGTTTGATGTCAAATAAACTTAATTAGGTCTAAACTAGTAAAAAAAGCATAAAAAAGAACATTACTTTTACACATGGCGGATGGCACAATAGGCGTGTCATGAAATATTTGTTCGCCGCCACAGCTTGCGAATCAAAATGCAGATGCGTTGTCAGCCGTGAGGACTAAGATGTAATGCCTCTTTTCCAGTAAAAAGGATCTCTACACTCGTCATACAAAACACAGCAGCATTAAGCTGCTAATTTACGCTGCTATTCTGTGAGAGTGTGGTTCTTCCCCGGTCGAGCCGACCCGTTCGTGCTACAAATATACAATTAATATACCTAATTCTTCATTCATTAGCCATTTAAATAACAAAGTGTTATACTGGCAAAGTAGTTGCAAAAAGGTCAGTGGTTGTTTTTTAAAATAAATAAATATAAATTTATATTATCATTTATTATTATGTCATGCATTTTCATAACTACCTATAGTAAAATACATTTTGATGGCAAGTTTATACACTTGTTAAGTGCAATTTTAAAACAAGTTAAATGCATTAATATCAACTTACATCACATTACAGTTAGATTAATTTATCTACAGTAAAATAGTTAACCTTTCGACTGGCATATTATACTGTGAATGTTAGCGGTAGTCTTACAGAAGTTCCGCATATGCAGTGACGTCATCAGGATCCAGTATCCACCACAATTTTCTGATCTTTTTGATATTTGTAACAAAAATCGATAGTCAAGTTCATTCTAGTGTATAGTGTGGCAAAGGCATTTTATACTACAATTGTTCCCAAGCCAAAATTGTCTGGTCAAAGAATAAAAATAATATTGCAAATATTTTGGACGAAAATAATAATTGCACATTGCATAAAACAGCCTATCTGATTGCAAATTATATTACTCATTACTCAAACTTCAAAAGATAATAAATATCATGAGAGTTTATTTTACGTCCTTCTTCTTCCTTTATGGCGGTAACGATGAATTCGCCAGCGACATGTTACATGCGAAAAGGTTTAATTAGGACACAAACTCTGCTTAAAAATGGGAAATTGATAATACAAGAAATGGTAACAACGAATATTATGTGAATGATTTTGGTCAACTTATCTGTTGAATTACCTAAAACAAAAGACAGACAATGCAATAATTCTTTGTTACATTTGATGTCCATTGTTGTCTATAATTCTTCAAATTATACCTTCAAAATATAAAATAATATTTTTACTTTTATTGTGAACAATTTACAAAATAATTTTCTCTATTATATAATATTCGACGGCTCCGTGGTGCAGTGGCTTAGCAACGAGTTGTTGCGCTGGGGGCCGCGGGTTCGAATCCCGCACGGAACAAGTATTTGTATGGCCTACAAATAATTGTTCCGGGTCTGGATGTTTGCCCTTGTGCAATTTATGTTTGTAAACTGCCTCCACGACACAGGAGAAAATCCTAGTGTGGGGGTGACGTTTTTTAAAAACAAAAAAAAAAATTCTCTATTATTTGTCCCAGATTTCTTTTTGAACGCTCTAGGACTAGCCAACATCGAAAAGTTTTTAAGGTGCTATTAAATGGGCAATTATTTATCTGGCATATGACAAAATCAAGAATTTTTTAAAGGCGGGCTTGGCATATTGTACTTATGTGGACAATCTGATGGTATGTTAAGTGAAATCAAACATAAAAGTGTGGTAACGTCTGCCAAACTAGGCAGAAAGTGAATCTCAATTCCATTTCATATGTAATTAAATGTCTGGTATACACAGTAGATTATAATTGCTGCAACATGTAGCAGTAAATACAGGTATTTCACTATCACAACAACACTACTACTGCATAATATCAGATACCAATATTGCCTAAAACATACATTTACAGTTCACAACCATAGAATTAGTTATATACAATAACATATTATGTGGTATGTGCCATGGCATAACGTAGCTAACGGGACAAACATTTTTTTTTGTGTCTTTACTCAGATAGGTTCAGTCATATTTTAAAATCAAATTTTATTTTCTGTTATAATTTCATACCTATATATTATAGCAAGGTACGGAGAGTTCTAGAAAAAATAAATAACACTGAACATTCTTTTTATAACAGCCTTAGGTGTTAATTTACAGTTACAGTGGCATCATAATTATCCATTGTTAAAAACATCAGTATTTTTATACATATAAAGGATTCTTTATAAAATGTGTGATGATTTCATTAAGTTCCATTGATTATAATTGTTTGTTTGTTGTTATCACTCAATAGATTATTGGCTCCATGGATAAAAAAAAAATGTTTGTATTGTTGGTATTACATACAATTGTTTGTATTACAAATAATTAGGTTAATTAATATCAAAACATTCAAGTTTACACTAATACTGTACAGTCTAAAATTAAACATTGTGATACACAACGACCAAAAATGTTTAAAATCGCCATTATTATTTACAACTTATATTTACATATTAATAAGAAATAAATTTTCCTGAATATTAATAATTATATAATTACTTATCATACATTCTAACTCAAGTTAAACAGTTCTTTAATTTTCGCTGTATTTGTAGATTAAATCCCATGTATTTTAATACTAGTGTTGGGAGGTTTCACGCTGCATAATTTTAGATTTTCAAAGAACTCACTTTTTAATTGAAGTTTAACTAGTTCAGATTACAGGGTCGACATATAATTAGTGCATACACTAGATTTAGACAAATTGATAAAAAAAAACCCCCATTGAGATCTGTAGCACGTTATATAAATTTATCAATTTGCGGCATTATACAATGCCATTTTGTCTAAATGCACAATATAATTACAATAATCTTTTTTTTTTATCAGTCTGCCTAAACATGTTTAACTGAAAAGCTTAAAACTATGAGAACGTTTGACAAAATACCATTTTTGTCATTAAATTTTAGTTTAAGTAAAAACAAACAAACAAGCATACAGCATGTACTCGGCCACGGGCTGCTGTGGCTTAGATACTATACAATAATACACGCGTATTCGATTACAACATTGTATCAAAATTTCAAAGCCATCGATGAACAACTTTCGGAAATGTAAGATTTTGTACAAAGGAAAATTTACATTTTTATTTATATAGATACTTCACAGCTTATTAAAACATCGAAAAATTCAGGTTTGTCACTATTAGTAAATTCTATTGTTATATTTTCTTTATAATTATCTGATGTCATAAATTGCAGATAGAAAGATAATACAAATCGGTCTCTTATTATCCAACGAGAAGAACAACTCTCACAAAGACTTTTACAAAACAAGGAACTAAAGAGTTAAGAAACTGTTAATGTCTAACGTTTCTTCAACAATTTACCTTAACATTTTCACAGAGTATATAGACAAAGACTAGTAAATATATTTGAGCCTACATTCACCAACCTCACAATTTGTCTTTATAGCACTTTCTTCGTACGTATATTAATATCAAACAACAACATCACTCTGCATATATAATGCTTGTGTACAAGGGCGTAGCAAGGAAAATTTACCATCGGAAAACTGACAAATCTACAGTTTTCACCCTGGCAACATTTTAAAGTTCATCAATTATCAGCATTACAGTGTATAGGTGGGTTGCTATGAGCTTATGAATGGTACCGCCATTCCCAGCCACGCCAGTTCAAAAATCACTCAGCAGTGCTGCCGTCGTGAAATCAGTCGTAATCACTGTCTTCGTCAGAAGAGGACTCTGATTCAGAGCTGTCTGGGTGATTCTTTGTTATCTCGATGCAGTTGTCTACATCCGTCAGTCTTTTCAGTGATTTTCCTGTAAACGGTAACAAGAATTAGGGTATTGTTTGTTGACGCGTTAATCATGAACGTAAAGAGCCTATTGAGAATAATGTATCTGTCGAATTTCGCATTATTCAAACGTGCCGAAGTGGAAAACTGAAAAATTTCATTAAATTAAAACTTCTATAAGTATGCTGGTATTAAAATATGATGATTATGTTATCCTTACTAGGTCATAATTTAATAAGTATAGAATATTACAATATATACATACTATATTAGGATATTTTACTGCATATATATTCGGGATATTATACTGCGAGAGTACTAACATACAGTCGAATTGCGTACCTCCTCCTTTTTTTGAAGTCGGTTAAAATGGTAAGTAGGTAAATTATCTGAGTTTCGAAGACGTTCACATTGTTATAATCTTAATTTTCCTCGACGCATATTAACCGTTAGGGCCACGGGTTAGAATCCCGCACGGAACAAGTATTTGTATGGCTTACAAATTATTGTTCCGGGTCTATGTTTGTCCTTGTGCAATTTATGTTTGTAAACGTTTTGTTTTAACAAAAAAAAATACTAATACGTTGCATAACACCTCGGTATATACTACTATATACCAACTAATACCAAAGGATTCAATTTGTTTTTTCACAACACCTAACCCTAGAGTAGGGGCGGCCGTAACAAAGGCGCGTAACGGGCTAAGTGATACAGACACTCGCACGCGGACGTAAGGTGCATTTTGATTACGCGCGCCGCATTAATTTTTGTTTCGACGTAGGCTAATTTCACGAAGGTCGCTTTCGAGGCGTGCAAAATATTATGAACATTAGCGACGTTGTAACTAGGTTTAAACTCGCAAGTTTGCTATCAGAGAGTGATCCTTCTGTTCTTGTACTATTAGTTATTCTGTGCTATGAGTTAGTTCTCTTACAGCATGATTTACATAAAAAGGATAATGATAAAACATTACAAACCTGTCAACGTAGTAAGCAGCCTGTTCTCATTGCCGGGCGGCATGTTGATCGGACCAAGTTTCTTAGCAAGCTCCCTTGCCCTATCAGCACCTGAAACTGAATTAACAACCATTTTTTTTAACATCATACGCTTTTATATACTCGTATAAACGTTATAACATAGCTAGTTAGCAAACATTTTTAAATGATGGTAGTATGTTTGCTTAATTTTTGATGTGTAATATCTTTCCCCTCGCTTTCCCGCAATGTGTGGGAGTGATTTCGTGAAAAGGGACGGAAGTGTGTAGCAGAGAGCCAGAAAAGTGCGCTCTTTTTGATTTGACCAATGAGCACGCGCGGTGGTAATAAAGTGTGCTGTTAAATAAACTAATTTATATGTCTAAACTATATTAATAAATGTATTTACTGTTTGATAAGTGTCTGAAAAAGGTGCAGATCATAGATATAAAATTCAAGTGAGTAATAATGAATAATTATTCAAATAAATATTTCAGTATTCATCTTTTATAAATTTTGAGGTTACTTTTGTTGCTGCTCAATTGATATTTTTAATTTTGATTAAAAAAAACAACTTTTTTCAGCATATAATGTTAATGTTGCTTATTACCAAGGCGAGATGTCAGATGTTACACATAATATGTAATTGCTGTGAGACTGGCTAGTTTTTTTTTTTATATATCAGTTGTCCGTAATAATTACCACCTGCAATGTGGAGTAAAAAAAGAATTTCCATCGCCGATTCGCTTAGCTGTTTGTAGATATACAATTGTGTCAACCAATTACACCAATTTAGCAGTAGTGTTTACAGAGAGATAAAACAAAAACAATTCCAGTTACAAACTTTTTATACAAACATGTTTTCCTGATTTAAAAGCAAAATAAAACAAAAATGGTATGCAAATTCAGGCATGAGCACGTGAAGAAAGTTATTACCTCTGGAACCTTCTTGGCTGTCATCTTCAGTCATTGCAACTCGCTCAGTTCTATAAACGCCGGTCACGAGATCCCACACGAATAGACACTACGACAGTAAAAAGTGGTAAATTATGCAATGGAATAATGCCACTATGGTAAAGTTCAATGTGTTGAAGTTATTGTCGGTTGTATGGTTAAGACATCGCAAATATTAACCAATTCATTGTAATGTTGTCAGTGTTATTCATTGTTATTGATTTTCATTAAAAAAAAAACCTTTTAACCCCCTTGCGTCGGAAAGCACGTAAAGCCGTCGGTACTGCACCTGATCTCTCCTCCGGTCTGGTCGGATTACCGTTCCATCGTACTGTAAGAGTGAGGGAATAGAGAGCACCTGTGCTTGCGCATACTCGGGCAATACTATCCTGTCCTGTGCAGATGTCTAGTCTCTGTTCATACTAGTCGCCGTGACCGAAATTATGTCTAAAGGACATTATTATTATTATAGTTATATGTAACTGTGGGTTTCTTGCTGGTTCTTATCAGGAAAGAGGTTTATTCCGAAGCGGTGGTTAAAATAAGAAATGATTTTTACTAAAAAATATTTATAAAGTAGACTGAGGCAAGTGTGACAGTAGGGCAAGTGTGACAAATGCAAATTATGCGGCATAAATATGTTTTTTTTTTTTTGGTTAAATGCCATTTTTTGAACAACGCAGGAAATTTTATACTATTGACTATATCGACAGTTAAGTACATAGCTTCAACTATTTTATCGACAGACGTTATTTTATCAAAACTACTCAACTGGCGAAAGCCCGCGCAATTTTAAAAGGCGAAGTTTTTAAGTGTTTCGATACGTCATGAAGTTATTTTAAACAAGCTACAAGGTGAGTGATAAGGAATAATATTGGTACTTATAGTGTAATATGTTTCTGTGATCTGAAATCCACTATTGCTTGAAATACGGATACAGTTACACTTACCTCACCATTATCTAACATCGGGGTAAGTGTGACAGTGTCACGCTTACCCCGATCATCTTGTATGAGAATATCGTAACTAGTGATGGGACAGCCAATTGTTTAAACTGACTTTCAAAAAAAGAGGATACTGTTTATTTGTGTGTTCGTATGTATTTATATTTAAGTATTTACTTTTGTATTTATATTTAATAAACGAGCGAGCGAAGGGAGTGAGATCTCAGAGTCACGTTAAACGAATCGGTGTTTGTATGTTAGTAGGTACTTGTGATTGTATGTATATATGTCTGCATCATTTTGTATGCACGGTGATAACTTTTGAAAGAATATCTAATTTCAATTAAAACTGGTAGTTTTTGAGAGATGAAGGGGTGTGTGAAAAGGGGTGAAAAATATCAGTTCATGGGGTATGCCTTTGGTTTAACTCAGCGAGAAGTCAGAGCTTTAGTGCCAATATGTTCGTCGCAATTAAATTGATACACCCTTCAATGATGGGATTCCGGGAGACGAGTGGTTAAGAACAAGGAAGAAATTATCGATTACAAAAACTTCAAGCTGTCAAATCGCAAGAAGAAAAGCTGCCGACTAGTAGTTCCCAACGAGTTCAACGATGTGCTTGCGACACGTACAAACGCAATAATTCAAAGGTGATCAAATAATGGAATCTTGTTGAAACAAGTACTGTCAATACCCAGGAAAGTTGAAAATAAAACTGGCCTAAAAGGTTTTCAAGCCACAAGAACCACTAGCTCACCAGGCTGCGATAATACAACTGTATTGTTCGCATGCAATGTCTGGGGCTAGAAACTTCCTGCGTTAATAATTTTTAAAGGAACGTATCTTTGGAATACATGGTTACCTGATGATAATTCGATTAATTCGGCATTTGCCGCTACGCCCAAAGGCTTCAGTCTTCGAAAGATACTTTTCAAATGTACTGATCCCGGAAATATGCAAATCAGGCAACCCACACCTTGTAATATATGACGGCCATTCAACACACCTTGACTTAAATATTATTATAAGAAAAACAATATTACCCTTTTAAAATTACCGCCTCATTCTTCCCATATTTTGCAACTAAGCGAAATTAAAGTTATTTTTCACTTAGCATTGTTTTATTACACTTTCAAATCATTCAGGGCAAGTGTGACATAAATCCATTTATAGGCACATCACTATATCGGTTAAAAACTGTCACACTTACCCTATGAGTAGAAAAATCCATTGTTACACAAAAATAGACGTTCAAATCGTTCAAATAGATCATAAAATATATTGATAATAGTATCATCATAAAGTAACTACAAACAGAAGCGTACTGTCACAATTGCCTCATTGATGGGGTAAGTGTGACAGTCTTCCACCTTAATTAGTTTTATTACCTCCAATTACAAAATGCTACTTATAGATACTAAAATCCTTGATCAAACAAACAACCAATTAATAATTGATGTTCTGAAACGGAATTATCTACGTTAAACCCTTACAGAGTAGAAGTATTTAAATGTTCATTTTAGTTTTAATTAATTTATGTCACACTTGCCTCGGGTGCTTCTAATCTATATATAATAAAAGCCTTAAGGAATTAAACTATGCAGACAAGGCTATATAGTATATATACATACTACATGTTCTCCACGATTTCGTACGCGTGGAATTTATTATGATTGAATTTCATGGGTTTTAATTTTGTTTGTTTGCGCGTAACCTTAATTATTTTTCAAAAATAAAAGTAGCCTAAGTCAGTCCCTATAATATCAGTTATCTGCCAGTGAAAGTCTCGTCAAAATAGGTCCAGTCAATTCGGCGATTAACCGGAGTAAACAAACAAAAATTATAAAAAAATGTTTTTAGTTATAAGTACTGTATATTCAGTAAAAAGCTGTTATTTTGACATTACAAACGGACACTTCAATTATTTTTTTTTGTATAGATAAGAAGCAAACCTCCGCGGCGTACTGGCGGCGGTGCGGCAGGCAGCCCGCGCTCACGTCCTTGCACGCCTCGCACTCCGCCGTCGCGTCCGTGTCGTCGCTCGCCCACAGCCACATCGCGCACAGCTGTACACGTTCACCAATGTTACACACATTTTTAGGAAAACATTAAAACAAACCTAATTAGAAAAAACGCAATATTACACAATAATTATAAAAAACAAATGATATTCGAAGAAAAAAAAACATACAAAATATATTTTTTTAATAGCATTTTCTAATGTTTGTGGCCAGTGCGCACGATAATTACGAGTACAACAGAAGAAATTAAATTGTTTTTTTGCGTTCATCTAAATGTGTCCTTGGGTATTTATGTTTTAATAAGTATCTTAAATTATATACACGAAAAAAGTTTGCGATCAGTTTGAAAAATCTTAATCTTTTTTGTTACGGTAGACTATATTATAATATCTTTTTCTTTTTAGATTCTTTACTTAAAAATATAAAACAATAAACCAAATTCAATTGTTTTTCCATATAAAAAGAAATTCAATCCAAGCTTACGCTCATTCAGAAATCTGACTTAGTTAATTTTAACAGATTTAAAATATTTTTTCGAGAAAAATTGTGAATGAAAAATGCCAAGAGGATTATCAGAAGTTTTACGAGCAAGAATTGTAACTTTGAGGGAAGAAGGATATTCCACGAGAGAAATAGCAGGCAGAGTTGCTGTGTCCCAATCCTGTATAATGGCCAAGTTGCACAGGTATCACGGCATGGATAATTTAGCTGACCGACCCCGCAGTGGGTGCTCAACTTTTCTGACTGCTGCTCAGAAGCGCTATATCAGATTGCTGGCAGTCCGTTACCCAACAATCAACGGCACTACAATAAAAGCAGAAGTGCGGACCGCCGCAGGACTTGAAGTTAGCACTCTGATCATTCGGAATTGCTTACACCAGGCTGGATTACGAGCACGCAAGTCTTGGTGAGCACCTCTGAATTCACGGCAACGTCAGCGACGGAGATTGCAGTGGGCTAGGCTCCGGCAAAATGAAGAAGATGACGAGGAAAACATTTAGCAAAACTGTCTCTTCCTAGACGAATCGCAAATTTGTACTCGTCCAGATAACCGACGTGTCCGTGACTGGAGAAGACCTGGAGACTCTGAAAGGCAAAAAACTGCCACTAGAATCGTTCAGCAAGGCGGGAAATCGGTGTCCTTTTGGGGTGGAATTATGATTGGAGCTAGAACGCCTTTTATCCCGTATCGAGGCTCCATGACGGTAGATAGGTATAAAACAGTCGCTATTGATGGAATTGTCAGACCATTCCGAGTAAACCCTGGGCACCAATTCGTACTGGTCGATGATAATGCGCCCGCATATCGAGCTCAACGAGTCAGTGCTGCTCTCCGAGAATACGACATCACAAGTTTTACTTACTACTACTTGACTTAAGCCCAATAGAGCACGCGTGGGATACTCTTAAGTGAGCTGTTTAAAACCAACAGCCACCTCCCCAGACAGTGCCAGAGATCAGGGCGGCCGCTATTCAAGAATGGGACAGGTTACCGCAAGATGTGTTAGATAACTTGATCTTCAGCATACGCAGGAAGATCTCCGCATGTGTTGGAGCCAGGGGAGGAGTTATATTGTATTAAATAAAAACCTTCAATTACTAAATTGTTGTACAAGTTTGGTTAAACAATCTTTTTCTTTCCATCAAATTTCTTATACAATTATACATATTAAGATTAAATTACTCAATTTTTGTTAATTAAAAAATAAAAAATAAACTGTTTTATTCATTAATTTCAAACAGTGTATTTCTTTTAAAAAAAAAGATATAACGTAAACACTTTTTCTTCATAAAGTTAAATTTTAAAAATTTATCAGCTGTTGCTAGTGATCACAAACTTTTTTGATGTGTCTATGTACATATTAACGTTATTTCATTCTCTTGGGATGAGATAGATACATATGTGTGTATGTTTTCTTTATATATACATATATATACAAAAGAGTCCTTGCCAAGGCAAAGTCAGAGCACATAGGCAGAATTGGCGAGAAACTAAATCGTCTTGCTTCGAGAACTCGTGCATTCTGGTCTCTCGCCAAGGCTGTCCAAGGCAACTATTGTCAGCCATCTCTTCTATCTCTGCACAGGGAGGACGACTCACTGGCCCATGCCGCTATGAAGAACGCCGATCTGCTAGGCTCTTTCTTTGCGTACAACTCGATTCTCGATGACTGGGGGAACACACCGCCGACCATCCTGCGGTGTGGAGTGCTCTATGCCGGATGTGCAGTTCACACAGCGCTCGGTTCGCAAAGCACTCCTCTCCCTGGACATCCACAAGTCGAGTGGGCCGGACGGAATCCCTCCAATTATGCTGAGGACGTGTGCTCCAGAGTTGGCACCGGTTCTAACGCGTCTTTTCTGGTACTCTTATTTCCTATACGTAGTTCCGAAATCATAAAAGACGGCTTTTGTCCACGCGATCCCTAAAAAAGGCGACCGCTGAGACTCGTCTAACTACATGCCTATCACCATCACCTCCTTGTTCTCCAATATAATAGAGTCCATTATAAACTGCCCGCTCATGCGGTACCTCGAGGATCACCAGCTGATTGGTGACCGCCAATACGGTTTTCGTCGGGGTCGATCAACTGGTGATCTTCTGGTCTACCTGACTCATAGATGCACGGAGGCAGTGGAGTCCAAGGGGGAGGCATTGGCCGTTAGTTTGGACATTGCGAAAGCCTTCGGTCGGATTTGGCACAAAGCGCTTCTTTCGAAGCTCCCTTCCTATGGGCTTCCCGAGAAATTGTACAATTGGATTTTTTTTATAGGAGAGGGGACAAACGAGCATGCGGCTCACCTGATAGTAAGTGACTACCGCCGCCCATGAACAACTGCAACACCAGGGGAACCAGGGGAATTGCAGATGCGTTGCCGGCCTTTTAAAAAGGAGTAGGCTCTTTTCTTGAAGGTCCCTAAGTCGCAACGGTCCGGAAAAATCGCTAATGGTAATCGATTCCACTAGGAAGTTGTGCGAGGAAGAAAAACATATTCTAAATCGCACAGTGGTGAACCGTCAATCATCCAGATGGTGTGGATGGTATCGGGAGTTCTGCCGCGATGTGCGTTCGTGAAATTTGGCGGCTGGGATTAATCCGAACAATTCCTCAGAGCACTCCCCGTGGTAAATGCGAAAGAAAATGCAAAGGGATGCAACATCTCTTCGCAGCGCCAATGAATCGAACCGATCGGAAAGGACTCAGTCGTCGACGATTCGAGCCGCTCTGCACTGGATACGGTCAAGTGGAAGGAGCTGGCACTGGGGAGCCCCAGCCCAGAGATGGAAACAGAATTCCATGTGAGGCCGAACCTGCGCCTTGTAAATTTGCAGGCGATGTGCCGGCATGAAATACTGTCCTGCTCTGCTGAGCACGCCAAGCTTTTTAGAAGCCAATTTGGCCTTCTCTTCCAAGTGATCACGAAACTGCACGTCACTCGATATGTCGACGCCGAGGATTCCGATACTGACTGAGGCAACAAGGGGAGTGCCTTGAAACTGAGGAAATACGACAAAGGGGTTCTTTTTAACGATAAACGCGCAAATTTGTGTCGTCTGAGGATTAAACTGGGACGCACCGCACGCGAGGGAGCGCCGCCATTTTGAAAACGTTTCGTTACGTACACGTATTCACGTAAAACACAATGCCGTGTTCACGACACAGCCACACCTCGATTTTTTTTTATAGAAGTAAGTGACAATCAAGGACAGTTTACTTAACGGTATATGGATGCTGTGGCAAGACAAATTGTGGTAACACCTACATCCATCCTCAACTAAGAATCAAAATGCAGATGCGTCGTCACCCTCGAGGACTACGACGGAATACCTTGTTCTTGTCATAATCATACGAGTCTATAATATTTTTTTGTGAAGACAGGTGTTTGATTTTTTGTTTACGCTAACGGGGAGCAGTGTCAAAAGTGTGAGATCTCTGGTAAGGCAATCCACAATTCGCGTACCAAGTATGGCAAGCACCACGTAGCAAGTATGGCAAGGCTCATGTTCGGCAGGGGCGCAATAGTGCGACTCTTAAAAGTTTAGTAATATTATACAAATACCATAAAATAAAAGTAGTTTTATATGTACATATATAGTTTAAAATCGGTCTAATGCATGCACAGTTAAATTTCTATGTCATACCGAAACTATTTATATACTTCAAGAATAAAATATATAAAAATGTATAATTTGAGAATTTTTGTAATTTATTCCAGAATAAAATTTGATAAATATGATGTTATCTTTTCTAATTACTTTTTACAGACTTTTTAGGGATATAATAAGGGATCATAATTTTAATATGGTGTTTCAAAAAGTGCTTTAAATAACTCACATCATGATCACAATATCTTTTTTTAATTATGCCAAATTTCACTTCTTTATATCAAACAGTGTCAGATAGACACAAAATGAATACCGTAGTTTTTCATTTTGCTCAATTTAGCACGGACCTCTTAGGTAATGTTATGTAAAGCCTGAAGAATGAAATCACCCATTGAGTGTTATAAGCGTCTAGAACACGATATGTATAGTCAGAACAGAGTGTATAACGCTTACCCCGGACAAGCAGCCGCTGGAGTGGCAGACGTCGATGACGTGGCAGCCCCAGTCGAAGCAGTAGATGAACTTCTTGCCGCTGAGGTGGCACAGGCGGCCGCACACCTCGTTGCACAGCAGCTCGGTGTCCAGCGAGCGCTGCGTGGCGCGCACGGTGCGCGCTCGGCCGCGCCCCCCGCCCGCGCCTGCCCCTACCCCGCCCCCCGCGCCGCCCAGCCGCTCCCAGGCGCCCGCGCCCACGGCCTGCAGCGGTGCGTAGCGCGCGCCGTGCGCCGTCAGGTGCAGCGCCACGTGGTACCCCGACATGCAGTCGTCTAACACCACACGGATAATCAAAAAATCGAAACGGCGCAGTGGCTTAGCAATGAGTTGCAGCGCTAAGAACCGCGGACTCGAATCCCGCACGGAACAAGTACAAGTGTGGCCTACAAATAATTGTTCCGGTTGTGGATGTTTGTCCTTGTGAAATTTATGTATGTGAACCACCCTCACGATACAGGAAAAAATCGTGGAAAATCGAAATCGAAAAAACTAACAAATAAAATCACATCTATTAAGATATAATAAGTGCGTTGCCAATTAGACAGTTCCGAATCAAACTACACAGAAGGCTTACAAAAAATGTTTCTATGACATAAATGAATTTACTAATTCATACATTTGTAATTGACGATGACTCGAAAATTTGATTAAAGTTGACATCACAATGTATTTTTATAATATTATGTGCTATTCAAACTACATAAATAACTTTTTTAGTTGTTAATTTATATGTCAGACCATTACTAACGAAATATATGAACATTTAAATCGACTACTAATTTATTTCGACAAACGAACAAATAAATTTCATTCCATTATCATCATCATCATTATAGTTCTTTACAAATTCACTGCTTAACAAAGGCTTCACTCAAGTAATACCACAAAACACAGTCCCGAACCACCTGCATCCATTAATTTTCTACATTTTTTTTAACACTTTGCACTTCATCTAGTATTTATAGCACACAGATAATAATTATTCCTGTAGTTACAACGGATGAGGGTAAACTCAGTAAGCCGAAGTAAGAGAATCTATAACTACATTTCGTCTCATTGGTGTCATAAGAGATGGCTATGGAAAATTTCTGAAAGTTTCTTTCGATAGATGGAGGTATAACCACGCTAGACGTAAAATACTCAAAATGGCGACCGATAGTGGTGCTAAAGGTGCGAAAAGTCAAGAATAGAGCAAATCGTTTTTACAACAGGAGTGTTTCATGTCCAGCAGTAAAATTACCGGGCCAATTAAGAAAAGAAGAAAAAAATACATATTCCTACTAAACAAGAATCATAGAGGAATTAATAGTTCTAAGCTATGAGTGGCAATATGTGGCAACTGCCAGTGATAACCTATGAAACCGAGGCGTGGTCCTTCACTGGCTGGCTGTATGAGCAAGCTTCTCTGCATGATAAAATTCGTAACAAAGTTCGTCCACAGTAGTACTTGAGAAAACCAACATCCAATATAATTCTACGGATCAGTAAACGACATTATAAAACCGAATGCAAAATGAAAAAGCATAATATGTACCCAAATTCAGTAGCCAGGTAAAAAGGAGCATTACGAGTACAAGTGTATCAAGTTTGCTTTCACCAACTCTCCTAGCATAGGACAGCCAGATTTTCAAAGAAACGTTTTTCAACTGGAATATAATTGCAAGGGCTGTCCAGCAATAACTTGAATAGGGTTAATGCTCAGAAAGGCTTGTAATGTGAAATATTGTAAACAAGTACTAATTCATAATTACCTTCAGAGTCTGTGATGATGGATGTGATCTCATCGTCACTCTCGACAAAGTATCTCGTGAAGAATTTACTGCACTTTGAATTTCCCGAATGCACTAGATAAGGATCTTGAGGACTGACGGGAACATCGGACAAAGTTTTCGAGGTGTTGTCGTGCACTGCAACTGTTTTTAGGGAGCCATCGTCTAACATTTCCATTACTCTGTACTCCGATTCACTGTTCCTGTCAGACTCCAGAGAAGAAAGGCCAGAGTTCTTCAACTCCAAGCTTGAAGTCGGAGATGGTGGCCTGCTGATTTGATTATGTGCCCTCAAAACCACACTTTCTATAGGAGGCGATTTAGGACGCCTTGCTTGGTTTTTGCTAGTTGACCCTATAAAATATTTTCTGTTACTTCGTAGCACCCTAAACGGGACAATATTTTCGTTGTTATCCTCCGAGAACTCGTATTTCTTATCCGCCAGCCTCCTCTTACGGAACATACTAAGCTTTTCGCATTTCGTCTCAGTTTCTTCAACAAACTCGTAAGCTTTTTCGGCGATCGTTCTATGTGTTTCATTGAACCGAGACATACTTTCGGCTGGGCGCCTCCTTGGCGATCGTAAAGGCGGGCTGATTAACGTCCTAATAGAAGGCGACGGTCCTTCCCACTCCTCAACTAGGTTATGTGAAATTGACGAAGCCTGTATGCACAATTCTTGGCCCATCATATCAGGCATGTGAACTGGTCGCGATGCTTGGTATGGTTCAGCTTCAAGATCAGAGAAATCAGCTAGGATATTTTGAACAACGTTATTTTGATATTTAGGTGACTGAAACGGTGCGGACACGTCCGAAGCTGGCGTACTTGGATTTGTATCTATAGAGTTAACTTCTTCCCTGTCTAATGAAAATTTATTTTCTTCATTTGCATCACATCGTTCCTGATCTGATTTAACGAAATCGATTTCTAATATATGTATGAAGTCTGTGTAGATTATTATTTGGTTGGAATAGGCCAATTGGACTACAGGCTCATACATACTGGAGTCGGAAGTGCAGAAAAACTTTGTGTGAATGGCAAAATTGTGTTCCAAACAACGTTTTCCCCAATTCAAATCATCTGGAAACATAAGTTCAAAGTATTAATTTCTTGTGTTGTTGTACTATACTTTGATATTAAAATAGAAATATACCTTCTTCTCGAGAATATGCTGCACATTTCTTACATCCTAAGCGAGGTACACCAATAACACTAAGGTAGGATCTTTCAGAACACGAGTCTCTGCAATGATAAAGATATATTTACAACTTTTCATGTTTAAAATAATAATTATTACTACTATATTATTAATCTCTAATTTTAATGAAGTTAAATGACATAATAAGTCTGCTTACAAATACACTCTAATTATTTTATTACGCAATTTATTTAATACTTACGCAATACCATACACAACAAGAACTTCTGGATTATGTTTCCACTGCGCCATAGAGATTGTTACTTTACTATCCACGCAATCATCTCCGAACAATGGGACACTATGAACCGGTCTAACTACTTTGCCTGGCACCCAAGACAGGAAGTGAAGGCTAGAAGAAAATATTACAGCATATGATTCCATCTTATAGTTCTAGATAGTTCTAGAGAAAAAAATATTTTGTAATTATATTACTGAAGTAAAGAATTGTATCTCAAATTACCAACATAACTAGATATAGCCTTTTAGGTAAGTATATAAATATTATATAAATATAATATTTTTTTATAGAATAAGGGTGACAAACGAGCACACAGTCCACCTGATGGTAAGTGGTTGCTGTGGCCCATAGACGTCTACATCTATCTTTGTTTGCGAATTAAAATGCAGATGCGTTGTCAGCCGTGACGATTAAAAAAGGGTCTCCGGTTCTCTACACTCACCATACGAAACACAGCAGCATTAAGCTGCTATCTTACGCTGGTATTCTGTGAGAGTGTGGTCCTTCCCCGGTCGAGCAGACCCATTCGTGCTACAACTATACTATTAATATAGCAGCAGCATGGCTCTACCACGTATTATATTATACAATAACCATAAGTATAAAATATCATATTATATTATTGCCATGTTGTGGCGGCGTAAGGGAATCCATTATCGTATTGTGAGTATCGTAAAAGACGACAGAAGGAAAAATGAAACCAGAAGATGGATAGCAGTATTGTTTCATACTTGTAACAGTTTCAAATAATAAAAAACTGTCGTTTCCAACCCACCCCTGGGACTTTTGATAGGCTATAATGATGATAATAACACCATCAAATCATTTTTTTAACTTATTATAAGTCAGTGCTTGACCACAATCCCACCTGGTGGTAAGTGGTGCTGAAGCCCTAGATGATAAATCACACTGTCTTAGTACAACAAAAGTCTATTCACTTTTGCTTTGAAGATGCCCAGATTGTATTTGGGCGGAAAGACAGACGCCTTCACGATTCCACTCCTTTGCTGCACGTATTATAAAAGATTAAGCAAAATGTTTGGTTCTGATGCGTGGAATATCAACTACAAAGGGGTGGGATACCCAACGACTATTCGGTTGTCCGATGGTGGAAAGGAATTCCTATTTAAAAATAGTCAACATATTTAAATTGTAATAAAACAAAAAAAAATTTGATTAACAAAAATGAACAATAGAGAATTTGTTTTTAATTAATAAATAAAATAGATTGGCAGTGTGTTTGATAGGAACAAGCAGATTGTTATTTGTTACTGATTTTACGATTTTGAAAAATAATCCATTGTATATCCTGCTGTTTTCAAGTGGTGTGCTAATAGACAAACAGACAAAAATTCAAAAATATTGATTTGAATGTTCTATAATATCCCAAAATTTATTTGGCAGTACAATTTTTTACAAAAATGTGAATATACAAACAACTCCTTTACAATATGTAAACACCTAAGGCTTTATTTGGGTACTAAGTGATCCATAAAACACACATGATAATATCCAAAATACTTTTGAAGGTTTGTATACAGGGTTATTTTGCAATAACCATCCAAATGTGCAGAGAAAGTTCAGAATAGATAACATAAGCAAATGGTAAAAAAAAAATAAACAAGAAAAAAAACTGAAATATTTTATCCTTTATATTCAAAAAGCATGGAAACGCATTATTTTAATTGCTTATTCATTCATAAATATGAATATTTTATATGCACATACACATTTGTTAGTGAGTGTTGAGTTCAGATGCATTCGGTGGCGTTCGGCGCTCGCGCTCGATTACATATTTAGGTATCTAATAGTAGTTTTGTAAAAACAAACGCATCTCTCCCTTCTATAACACCGCTGGGTACGTTCACCTGACCATGGCCGGCCGACACCCGACAATGTTGACTTGACCGTGACCTCATTACGTACCGAGTGTCCTATTTTAAAATTTTCGTAGGTAGTATTACTTGTCAGCAATAACGCAACGAAAATATTCGAACCGCGAATACTATGAAATGGTACAGTGTTCCATTTTAAGCCAGGAAATCTTACGTGGTGCCCAAAGATTATACGAAAGCGAGTCTTTACCACGTTTGCAAAGACAGGGAGATAGCGCGCATGCACCACCCAATCGAAGTACAATTTTGGCAGCAAGCCAAATGCTGTTTGACTTTGGACAGTTCACCACTACGTCATATGGAAGTGCTCGAGGTGGTCGTTCAGTAATAAGCCCGGCTGTCAGTTTGGCAGTTTTTAGGCCGAAACCCCTGAGCCAGCACCAAAGATGCAGCTCCGAAATTCAGTTAGCCTGTACTACATGTGGAAACTACTGAATTCTTCTGCATATCACCCATTTCATTACCAACGTGTGCAAACAATGAATAATAATGATAGTCCACCTCGAAAACAGTTTTGTGAATGGTTATTGTCAAACATTGATAATACTAACATTATGTGGACTGACAAAGCCCTATTTACACGTGTAGGGCTTTATAATAGGCGCAATGAACATTACTGGGCAGTATGCAACCCACACACTATAAACGATAGTTATGATCAAGTGTGATTTAGTGTAAATGTTTGGACCAGAATTATCGATAACATAATTGTGAGTCCGTACTTTATTGAGAGACAATTAATGGGTGGTAATTATTTGGACATGTTACAAGGTGTTATTCAAGATTTCCGGGATGATATACCCCTAGTGTTACTTAATAACTTTTATTTCCATACCATACCATGCATTGACTCCTACAAACACAAGCGTGCGTCGTTGTTGCCCATAAACTACATTCAATTTAAGATATTTTCAAATACATTATTTACATGTATTTTTCAAAACTGCAAAAAGTGTATATCACTATTTATATTTTGAAATTAATTATTAAATTCGGCTGGTCTTTGAAAAATAACCCTGTATAAATAAGTATGAGATAAATATTAGTAGATTGCAGGTAACATATATAGTGATAATAAAGCTGTAGAAATCTAGGACAATTTTTTAATTATAGTTTAAAATATTAAAAACTTACGTAAATTTTGAACTCTCCCGGAAGTAGTTTTGAGTATTACAGCTATAAGTGAAACTGAGAAGGAATTGTCCACACTGTGAAAAGCCCATAAAAACATGTTCTCGGAGGTAACATATGGGTACTATATCCATGAGACAGAATCTTAACCGTGGTGGGATCTTTTCAAACATTTTTCGACTTCTTTCATTAGACTTTCTTGAGGTGCTTCCAAATGTCTTTAAAAGAGGAAAACAAAAATTAACAATCAAAATTAACTACAAGAAATACAAGTTTATTAGTATTTCTCAATCCTTCCATATTAGGTATATTGTTATAGGTTTTTGGGTATTTAAACAATAAGTACACAATTTTTTATAACATGTTGCATTTATTTACATTGCAATAAAATATACTATATTAATATATTATCATAAGGCCTGATGACTAACCACTCATCACGGTATAATACTAAGAATAATGTTTCTTTGCTAAATGGTCACTTAGGATAATTATTAATTGACTTTTGACTGAGAAAAGACAAGAAAAGAAGCAGCCTTTTCATCACCAGTAGTGACAAGATACAGTTTCTTTAGGAACTTCACTACACATAGACCCCATGGACTAATAGCCTCTACAGCAAAAGACACAATATGTAGTCATCTCTTAGAGATTCATACTTGTACCACTTAAATATGTTCAGCTGCTTCTGATGCTGCCCCAGTTCTAAATGAGTTTCCCCTGAAATGAGAGGTTGCCACTCTAGGGCTTTGCTTCTCTCCCAAGGGACTATAGTCATACTGTCAGATCTCCTGCCACTGTCTTAACATTTCACAAGTCTCTTAAAGCAAAACTGGGGAACACTTATACAGACAAGAGCTTTTCAGGTAACATTGTTCAGATAACCATGACATGACAATCTAAATATAATAATATAGCACTATTCTTCCATGAAAGGCTCTGATGAGGTTGACAGATCACTACTTCTAGTTAGATTCGTATACATATCAGCAAGCTTTTCCTATCAAGTAATGTGCCAATTTTATATATATAGTGCACCAAGCAGGTATAACAATTCCACACTGAGTTATTATTTCTAGTGAAATATGATTGAAATTTTGGATCAAACTATCTCTGTTAAAGCTAGATCAATTATTGGAAATAAATAATTCACATTTATTGCTATTAGCATTATTCTATATATTCAAGACCAATATTTCAAAAAATTTACACACTAATTCAATTAAACGTGAAACATTTTTAAAAAAAGGAAAGTGTAGGCCAACTTTACCATTTTCTTAATAGGAACCGACATTTACAACTAAAGATAAAAATAAAAAAAAATAAGTCTATTCAAATGCGGTAGGCTATTCAGGTGAAAATACAAATGTTACTTACTTCTCTATTAAATAATTTATGGACAATATTGTTACTGTATCCTGAGTTATTCTTAGGAGTAACATGCAAGGATTTACTACATTCATTTTCACTAAATGGAGTAGAATTTTCAGACTCCTCAGCTAAAGAATCCATGTTCGTTTGTTTGAGGTTTGATTGACTGCAGTTTTGACGTTTTGACTCTCAATGTATTTTGTTGTATGTTGTTGTTGTTACGATTTGCCAATTAAGGCAAGCAAAAGTCTTAAATCGTGCAGCCTAGCTTCTCGTACTTTTTTCACAAAATTCTTCACAACATGCTGTTTTCTTTATAGAATAAGGGTGACAAACGAGCACACATTCCACCAGATGGTAAGTGGATGCCGTGGTCCATAAACATCTACATTTATCCTCGATTAAGAATTAAAACGTCATCCCTGAGGACTAAGATCGAATGCCTACAGATAAGCGTAGTATATACTACTAAAACAGATCCTGGTACTGGGTATTAAACGAGACTATGTTGCAACTATTCCAACTTTTAAAATATTTACTTGATCGACCTAGTCTCACTGTGACTACACATCGCAGAGCACCTGCGCCCTGCTCGAATCGAAGAAATAACATCGTGACGAAGAGAGATAGCATTTTGTTGCCTTAGTTACTAGGTCTGCTTTGCCACTCACTTGCGTTTGCCTAAATCATTCAAGTGTGTCACTCATTTGAATTTGAACTATCTATACAAATAAATAAAATTGAAGTGTCTATTTGTAATGTCAAAATTATTTTTTTTACTAAATTCATATGAAAGTAAATACGGTACTTATAACTAAAATACAATTTTTAAAATTTTTGTCTGTCTGTCTATCTGTTTGTTCCGGCTAATCTCTGAAACAGCTCAACCGATTTTTACGGGACTTTCACTGGCAGATAGCTGATTTGATAAGGAGTAACTTAGGCTACTTTTATTTTAGAAAAATAATAAGGGTTCCGCACAAAAACTTAAAAACCTTAAAACGCGAACGAAGTCGCGGGGAACAGCTAGTATATCAATATATATAGAATAGAATAGAATATTTTTATTCAATATTAATTACAAGTAATTCGTATTGAAAGTCATTTTTTTACTTTACCACTGGTTCGAAAAAAATCCTCTGTGCTGGGAAGAACCAGGAAGAAACCCAGCGGGACTTTTTTTAAATAAATGTTACAATATAAATGATTATAAACTATTTATAACATTTATACTAGAAACAGCTTGGAAGCGACCACCTCATTCCCAGGGGTTATTATCAACCATGTATTTTCATTTATATTATAATTACGCTTTTTAACAGTTTTTGTTTAGTTAAATATTTAAACTTGGTAATAGAGTTTTTCTGGGACTTTGTTGTAATAGTATATACATTGCATCAAGAATGAATTACTGACTCTATGGAGTCAAGAGACTGGTATTACTAGCTTGTGTTTGTTCCTAGTGTTTACAGAGTGTACAACTTTATTTACTAAAACTATCTTTGTTTCTGTGAACACACTTTACATTTTCATAAATATACTGAGAGGTCAAACTTAATATATTTATTTCTTTAAATTTCTGTCTAAGGGACTCTCTCTGTTTAAGGTTGTAAATTTATAGCTCTTATGGCCCTCTTCTGCAAAATATAAATAGCTTCAAAATCAGCCGCATTTCCCCATAGCAAAATCCCAGACATTATGCTGTGGAAATAACAGAAATAAACTAATCTAGCTATCTCAACACTAGTGAGATCTCTAATGTTTTTTATAGCATAAGCTGCAAAGCTTAGTCTGCTTGCTAGTTTGGATATATGGGGGCCCCACTGAAGCTTTGCGTCAAGAGTGATACTAAGAAAAACAAATATTTCAACTCAAATTATAAAAGTAACGCAACGTGCACTCGTCTTGTGCAAGAATATATTCTGTCCTTTTTTAACTACACTATTCTGCAGTCTTTCTATCTTTGTCTGTCAATACTCGAGACTATAGTCGGGACTTAAGCCAAATTCTAGGCAGATTTTATACTTTTATACACTAGGTACTCGATACGAATGAAGACTATATGATATGCAGTCGAGTGTCTAGTATAGAGTACAGACTCAACTAGACGCCGCAATCGAATATTTGGATTTTTTTAGCAATTGAATTTCGTAACGAAGTTTTTTTATGTGGTTAAAGAACTTTTGGTACTAATTTTAATAATACATTAAATTGGTTATTGTTTTAAAAACTGGCTCCTAAAAGAAGCAGTGTAGCTCGGGATCATTTTACGGACAAAGGCCGACAAATGGCTAAGTATAACATATGTAAAAAACAATTGAGTTTAAAAATTCTTACAGCTCATTTTTTCCGTTAAAATAAGTAACAATAATGGTAGATAGGTAATTAAAAATAAACTAAACAAAAACAATTGAAAAAATAGTAAAAGTCAAGCAATGGCTTATATTAGCTGTTAAAATAAAGCAATCCGCTATCAGTAAATTTCCCAATAAAACCTTCTGTCGTTTTGACTTGTTTCTGACAAAAATCAATTTTACCAATTACTTAATTACCCTTAGGTTAATTAATACCTTTATTTTGAAGGAAATACACATTCATTTCCAATTCTTAAGAGGAAATGTTGGCGACAAGTCATTTTAATAATATGTAACTTTTTAACAAATTCATTGGTAATGATTTCTAATATTTACGCGAAAACTACACATTTAAATAAAACTAATTTTATGGATTTTATCGCGTATATTAACTTATTTTTCATATTCTGGACGTTTCGGGTGCTTTCCAGCACCCGTGGTCACGTGGTTAGCCCGGCTACCTTCAGTTTTTTAATATTAATTTTTGGTTCGATTTACGCAGAATGAGCTTACAGTATCTTGAAGTCTAGCAGTGGTGTACTTGGGTTTGGATTTGATTTTATTAATAATGGATGGTAACGCGAGTTTTGTCGCGATGTGCGATGTTGAAATTGAGCGGCTGGAATTAGTCCGAACAATTCCTCAGAGCACTCCCCGTAATAGATGCGATAAAATACGCAAAGAGATGCAACATCTCTACGCAGTGCCAGTGTATTGAGCCGATCAGAAAGAACTCGGTCGTCGACGATTCGAACCGCTCTGCGCTGGATGCGGTCAAGTGGAAGGAGCTGGCACTGGGTGCCCCGGTTCGCAGATGTGAACAGTATTCCATGTGATGCCGAACTTGCGCTTTGCAAAGTTGCAAGCGATGTGCAGGCATGAAATACTGTCTCGCTCTGCTGAGCACGCCAAGCTTTTTAGAGGCCAATTTGGCCTTCCCTTCCAAGACCACGAAACTGCACACTATTCGATATGTCGAAGCCAAGGATTCTGATACTAGCTGAGGCAGCAAGTGGAGTGCTTTGAAACTGAGGAGATACGACAAAGGGGTTCTTTTTAGCGGTAAATGCGCAAACTTGTGTCTTCTGGGGATTGAACTGGACTAGATTTAGTCGCCTCCAATCCGAGAATTTGTTACAAAGACTCGACTTCAGACACAAGTTTGTCCTGGTACTCAGTAGTTTTCCCAAGAAATAATGGCACGGCCGGTATATAAGGCATCACCAGTGCTGTCGTCCGCATATCAATGAATACTACCAGTTAGCAACATATCATTGATATGCAGGAGAAACAGCGTTGGTGATAGCACGTAGCCTTGTGGAACACAAGCGTTGATAGGCTTGAAATCAGAGCATGCACCGTTTACTACGACCTTGATGCTCCGATCAGCAAGGAAACTGGTGATCCATTTGCATAATTTCTCGGGAAGCCCATAGTAAGGAAGCTTCGAAAGAAGCGCTTTGTGCCAGACCCGATCGAAGGCCTTCGCTATGTCCAAACTAACGGCCAATGCCTCCCTCTTGGACTCTACTGCCTCCGCCCATCTATGAGTTAGATAGACTAGAAGATCACCAGCTGATCGAGCCCGACAAAACCGTATAAGCGGTCACTATTCAGCTGGTTATCCTCAAGGTAACTCGTGTCGCGATTTTTGCCCCCCCCCCTTCCCAGAATACGCGGGGCAGCCTGAGCACCCACGCTTTGGAGTGAAGTAGTTTGGTCGTGGATGCTCAGCGAGGGATTCCCCAGGGGTGCTGGTACCCTCCTGGGGTAGTCTTTTACCACTACCATGTTGATGGGGGGGGGGGTGGGAATTGGGCCTCCGGCCACCTGCACTCACCGAGCGCAACGCAGAGGTAAACCTCTACTTCACGCTGGTATTCTGTGAGGTCGTGGTACCACCCCGGTTCGAGCTGGCCCATCCGTGCGACAGCAAAAGCTACCGCTTGGCTCTACCATTGTTAAAACCTTGTCATGACCTTGATATTATTAGTCATAGAGTTTTAAACGATTATATTTTATTGCGTTCAGTAGTATTAATTCCAAGCTCCAACGTTGTTGGTTATTCATAAGATCACGTAGGCATAGATAAAACGATGGTTTTTGGCTGCATGGTCACAAATTCCTTTGTCTTTAAATGATCAAAAAATAATGTCAATTGTCAACGTTTAACGTCAAAGTCAAATCAAATATTTCGTTTTGGAAAAGGAAACGGTTTTTGGTTGCGGTTTTGATAGAAAAATGGATTTGTAGACGAGTTTCGTGAATAGTGTGTTTATTCAATTGAAATTATTGTATTACTAGCTAAATATTTTCTTAGAAATCCAAATATGGAGCCAATGAACTTAGGGAGTCCAACTCACTCTCCTTCGGGGAGCCCGAATGTGGGGTATCTACCTCCATTTCTTTTGGGTGAAATCAACCCTCCAACGACCCCGAGAACTAATAGCTTATCACCAACGAAAGGACGGAGCCTTGCTTTTGGTATGTATTATTAAAAATTTAGTTTGTATGTTCTGGTCATGGAAAGCAAATAAATTTCTAAATTTACTTTGAGTTTAGTAAACTGGCATTGTCTTGATGTATTTTCTTACTTCACAAATGTTACGTAAAGTAGAGTATCTTGAATGATATACAACTATGACATACTATTCTGAATAAGTGTATTGTACATTAACTTTTGCAGGATCACCAACCAGCCCAACTCAGACTTCAACACCGGACCAAAAAATGTACCGTCCAAACGTGTCAATGCATCAACAAGCTTTGTACAACCAGCAAAATATGTTTACAAATATCCCAACTTCTCCTAACATATCTTATTCTAGTAAACCCAATGGTCCCCCAATAGAGGATCTTTTCGATACTATAAAGAGTAATGAACCAAATAAGTCTGTGTATCAAGATCAAAGTTTCTTTGGCTATGGGAACAACAATTCTTTGATGCAGAACTCTTATGTAAATGCATCGTTAAATAATCAGTCACTTACAACGCACTGGCAAGATGGATGTCAAGACCAAGATGAATACTGGGTCACTATATTTGGTTTTCCACCAAATGCAGCTAACACTGTGTTAGCTAGATTCAGCAACTGTGGTGCTATCTTAGGTAAGATTTTAACATTAAATGAGATAACATAGTGTATCAGATAAGTAGTTACTGTAGGCAAGACCAACTAGCAATGGGCGATTGTTGCAAAAAAAAAACAATTGACTGAATTGAAAATTGTGCTATTGCATATTCAATTGTCGATTTAGCAGTTCCTTACCATGATTATGTGAATAACAATTGTCAAACCACTAATTGTATGCACATTGCAATCCACCATTATGTAATGCATGCGAGTATGTGCTGTGCGTCGATGCAACATGTGCTTGTGTATGGGCTTACTGCAGTTTTTAAATTCCCAATTTACTATATTATACTGGAGGGTGAAATTTAACTGGAAATCTAAGAAATAATAAACAATTCAAAGATATGTTAACCATTCATTTCTCACAGGAGTATAGTGAAAAAATATGATCTACATTATAAATTCATCCTATCTGGTGACCTGAACCCTGAAACAAGATGTTTACTTTAATATTATTTTGATATGTCTGTCTATTTGACATTGACTCTGCTTCCAATTAAAAAATTATCTGATCCCAATTGCTAGCCTGAGTATTTTGTCTAGTTTTGATATGGTTAAATTTTATTTTAGAACAGGTTTAATTACATATATATCAATTGTTTCTATTTTCTGCCGACTTCCAAAAAGGAGACGGTACTCAATTCAACATGTTTGTATTTTTTTTTAATGTGTGTTACCTCTTAACTTTTTACTGGGTGGACCCATTTCGATGATTCTTTTTTTATATGAAAGCTGATAGTTCTCGTGTGGTCTCATATGAATTTGATCAAGGTCAGACCAATGGTTATTGAGTTATTCTTAAATAACTTATATTGAAGTCTGCAGTACAAAATTTTTAATTTTAAATTATGATAAAGAATATTGTATCATTGACCTTTAAGAATAAAAAAAAAGTGTTTCTGCTGTTTCTTATTCTGGTTATGGAACCTCATTTTAAAACTTTAAAATGGTTATCAAGCAGTCATCTGTCAGAGTCATTAGCACTTTCTAGCATTATATAGTATCACTTTAGTCTACTTGCTTTAAATGGTTGGGGGTGTTGGGTTCTCTCATACTGTCACCACATTGCATCTACTCTGCTGCATCTTACATGTTGTATAAGTTATATTTCTATTATTTTTAATTTATTACACTGTTTTAAAAAAATTAAGAAGTATTCAATTCAACTGTATTTTTTTATGTTTTACCTCACAACTTTTTTTAGGTGGACCATTTTCTACGATTCTTATTTTATTTGTAAGGTGGTGCTTCTCATGAAGTCCCATATAAATTTGATCAAGATCTGACCAGTAGTTTTTGAGTTATCCTTAATAATGAGTATTTAATTGACTTTGACGACATTGATGATGTTTTCGTTTTATTTGTATTGAAGTTTTTCTATTTCCCTTGTTCTAAATGTAGTAGTGCATTTTATTATATTCACTTTAATTCATTCAGGCCAAACAAAGTGCACTGCTCATAAGGGGGATATTTGTCATAGAAATGCTTAGTGGAAATTCTTACACTGCTACTGTACTGTAAAATATACATGTAAATTTTTGGTTTAAGCTTTGCAACGAAATTATGCCTGCGTTTTTATTGTACGTTTTTTTATTTTTCATTTATTTATCATTTAAAAGTTGAATATAAAAAGAAGTAAAATGGCATCTATAAACCACAAAGTTGTGTAAATAATGCTATCACCTACATCGATATTTCCAAGTTTGATAAAGAAAAATAGAATATAAGTAATATTACGTTGTGTTGCAAATAGTTTAAAAATCGGTCTAAATTTATAATTTTGATAACTTAGGTAATTAAATAACTAGATGCTTCTAAGTGTCAAGATCAGTGTTAACTAGGAAGTAAGATTTTAATTTTGTTTAATATTTTCTCATGTTATGTTATTACGTAAATTAGAGGGTAAGTTGCGTATTAATCGGGGAACTAAATAAGTATTTGACCGTTTGCCGTAGATATTATTAGCATGAGTAGTACAAAACCAATTTGTTTAATGTTAGAGAATAAGAAAATATTAAAGAATGAAAGAAAAAAACAACTGCAGTAAAATTTTACCAAAAATATTTGTTAATAGATAAGCAGTATCCCACACAAGGTAATTGGGCCCATGTTCGGTACGCAACTAGAGCAGAAAAGGAGCGAGCAATGGCATTAAATGGCCGACAAATTCTACCTGGAGTAATGGTTGGCGTAGTTGAATGCAAAGAACCACCCAGAATGACCATATCTAATCCTGGAATAACCTCACCCGAAAGGTAATTGCTGTGTTTTCATCAAAGAACAATAATTGATGAAACTAATTTTTAGACATGTTTGAACCACACTGCCTAATAGCTGCCGTATGAATGGGTTGACTCGGCCGGGAAAGAACAACTCTCACAGAATATTAGTATGTATAATAGTACAATTCTCATCACCCCTTATTAACTTACTATCAGAAACACTGCTGCTGTGTTTCTGATAGTAAGTTAATTAACACATGTATGTACATGTTTTGATATAACATTTTTGATTAATTTAATGATTTAACAATTAAATTTTTTTTAATTTAAAATAAAAATATTACTACGTTTTTTTTATCATATTCTTGTATTGTCATTCGAATTTGATCTATATTCAAAATTTGAAGTTTCTGGCTCATCGGAGAGTCATTTAAAATCAATTACTAAATTCCACCTGGAATGACAGACAAACAAGAATGTGACTTAATAAAAATGTGGTAAAAACAAGTAGATATTCTTTTATGATGAAGTGTCATCAAGATAAGTAACAATAATTCTTGGATTTTTTTTTAAATAGAATATCTGAGCATTATTTTTATTACAATCTGTAACTACTTAGCTTAGTGATAAGTGTACCTGGCTATCTAAAATGTATCTAGTGTAGTATGTTGCCTTTACATAATAATTTTACCTAAGTTTTTGGAAGAGAAGAAGAGGCGACAAAGGGAAACAAGCAGGAGATGGGCAGCAGCATCTTCCTGATAATAGCCAAAATTACAATAAAAAAACTGTGGTTGCCAACCCGCTCGCCAAGCGTGGCAACTATGGCAAATACCCCCCAATGACTAAAGCAACAAACAGACGGCCCCAGTCCCCGGCGGCCCCGCTATTCCTGGCTACGGTGGCGACCATGGTAACGGCGGGGCAGGGGGTGCTAAGAATCTCCGGTGGAGGTTCGGTTGCCACCTTAGACGACTCGACCTGGCAACGTACAACGCACGCACCCTGAGGACTGACGAGAAGGATTATCCGAAGTCCGAAGAAAGGGGGAGGACACGGTAATCCTCGAATCCGGCAACTTGCTCTATCACCGGGAGGGCGACCATCTGTCCCAAGGAGGTGTCGGATTTATCGTCCACAAGTCTCTCGTTAACAACGTTGTAAAGATCGGGAGTGTGTCGACGAGGGTTGCGTACCTTATACTCAGAATCACCAAACGGTATTCGCTGAAGGTCATACAGGTTTACGCACCAACCTCGGCACACCCCGATGAGGAGGTGGAGGAAATGTATGAGCATATCTCTAGAGCCATGCATTCCTCCAAAACCCAATATACGGTGTTAATGGGAGACTTCAATGCAAAACTAGGCACAAGAGAGAACGGTGAGCTGAAAGTAGGGAAATTTGGAATAGGGCAACGGAACCCAAGGGGCCAGCAGCTGGCCGACTTCATGGAGAAAGAGGGATTCTATGGTGAACTCTTTGTTCCAGAAGCGGCCCCACAGGAAGTGGACCTGGTCGAGCCCCGACGGTCCGACAAAAAATGAGATTGACTTCATTATGACGACCAGACGACAACTGTTCAGTGATGTCTCCGTGATCGAGAGGGTAGCGATCACCTAATGGTTAGAGGCACACTTGGCACAATGCGCTTCTTTCGAAGCTCCCTTCCTATGGGCTTCCCAAGAAATTGTGCAATTGGATCACCAGCTTCCTTGCAGATCGGAGCATCAAGGTCGTTGTAGACGGTGCATGTTCTGACTACAAGCCTATTAACGCTGGTGTTCCACAAGGCTGTCTGCTATCACCAACGCTGTTTCTTCTGCATATCAATGATATGTTGCTAACTGGTAACATTCATTGCTATGCGGATGACAGCACTGGTGATGCCCTATACACCGGCCATGCCAATATTTCTCGGGAAAACATCGCCGAGTACCGGAACAAACTTGTGTCTGAAGTCGAGTCTTTGCTGAACAAAGTCTCGGATTGGGGGCGACTAAATCTAGTCCAGTTTAATCCTCAGAAGACACAAGTTTGCGCGTTAACCGCTAAAAAGAACCCCTTTGTCGTATCTCCTCAGTTTCAAGGCACTCCCCTTCTTGCCTCAGTCAGTATCGGAATCCTCGGCGTCGAGATATCGAGTGACGTGCAGTTTCGTGGTCACTTGGAAGAAAAGGCCAAATTGGCCTCTAAAAAGCTTGGCGTGCTCAGCAGAGCGGGACAGTATTTCATGCCGACACACCGCCTGCAACTTTGCAAGGCGCATGTTTGGCCTCACATGGAATACTGTTCCCATCTCTGGGCAGGGGCTCCCCAGTGCCAGCTCCTTCCACTTGACCGCATCCAGCGCAGAGCGGCTCGAATCGTCGACGACCGAACCCTTTCCGATCGGCTCGATTCATTGGCACTGCGAAGAGATGTTGCATCCCTTTGCATTTTCTTTCGCATCTACCATGGGGAGTGCTCTGAGGAATTGTTCACTGCTGGCCATATGAGGAAGCTCAAGGTCGCTCAGCGAGCTATGGAGAGGGCTATGCTCGGAGTTTCTCTGCGTGATAAACTTAGGAATGAGGATATCCGCAGTAGAACCAGAATAACCGACATAGCCCAACTGATTAGTAAGCTGAAGTGGCAGTGGGCCGGCCATATAGCTCGAAGAACCGACAACCGATGGGGAAGAAAGGTTCTCGAGTGGCAGCCTCGTACCGGTAGGCGAAGTGTAGGGCGTCCCCCCACGAGATGGAGTGACGACCTGGTAAGACATGCAGGAAGTCGATGGATGCAGGTGGCTCAGGACCATGCTTTGTGGCATTCTTTGGGGGAGGCCTATGTTCAGCAGTGGACTTGTGAAGGGCTGTAATGATGATGATGATGATGATTTTGGAAGATTGCCTTCCTCATAGTTTTCTCATAGGATATTAGCCATGGTTGTTATGCTTGGCTAGTTTATGCCGGACATAAAATACCCTGATGAGCAATGAGGAGCAGCAATAAATTTATGAGAGATTGAGTACTGTGAACATCTATCCGCCTACCAAGTGTGGTGATTAAGCCAAATTCTCCTTGCTGGGGAAAAGCCCAGGTCCAGCAAATAATATTTTATATGTGGTAGAGCCATGCTGCAGCTATATTAGTGGTATAGTTGTAGCACGAATGGGTCGGCTCGACCGGAGAAGGACCACGCTCTCACAGAAAACCAGCTTAAAATAGCAGCTTAACACTGCTGTGTTTCGTATGGTGAGTGTAGAGAACCGGAGACCCTTTTTACTGGCAAAGAGGCATTCCGTCTTAGTCCTCACGGGTGACAACGCATCTGCATCTTGAGTCTTTATTGTGGATAGATGTAGATGTCTATGGGTCGCAGTGGCCACTTACCATCAGGTGGACTGTGTGCTCGTTTGTCACCCTATCCTATAAAAAATAAAAAAGTTTACAGCCTGATGAAGAACAAGAAGGTGGAGATTGTTGTTCTTACATTCAGTCTATATCTAACTTCATTTTGGCTTCTTTCTGGTTGGGTATACTTGCAATAACTATAATGATGACTGTTGTGAATAACTGTTTTAAAAGTCCAGTGCTAAATGTGGGTCTCTCCCATTCAAATTGAAAATAAATTGTGAACAGTTGGCTGTTAGTAAAAGTTTAAAACCATTGCAGAGAGGATTGGCTTTAATCAGCTTCACATGTATTGATGGTCACGGTACCAGACATTTTGGACTGATGCTACTTCCAATACATAGCATTATTACCATCTTGTTTACGCAGTGTATTTTGCTTAAGAAATGATTATTAATTACATGTCCTTTGTGCATTGTAAAATGGATTGTAAGAAAAGAAAAAAAAATATGATTTCTTGTAGGTACTATAACTAAAAACATTTATTTTTGTTGTTTATGCTTCCAGACATACAACAGCCAGGTCTCTATGTCCAACACCTATCCCAGCAGCACCAGTCCCTCAGAGGTCTAATGGGATTATAGCAAAGGCCTTGGATTATGTACTAGGGTGGTGACAAAAACTATTTAGTATATTTTATGAAAAACATGTAAGATCACGGAAACAAAAAGTGCTAAAAGAATGGCATTGATGAAACAGACTGGTTTTTCTCTGTACATATAAGAACTTATCCTTTCATAATAACTTTGAAATGGAATAAAAATATCGCTTACTAATTGATCAATGTTTATTTCTAAATGTTACATACAAAATCCAATGATATTTTAAAATATGGATATGTTAAGTGCAAAAAAGAGTCTTCGAAAACTGTATTAAGTTGACAGAGACACAGCTTCAAAATGTCAATATAGTATGAGGTAATTGGAAAAGAAAGTCTAGATGATAAAATTATAGCTATAAAATAAATTAATTTGTTATAGATATTTGCGCTTTGATAGAGATTTGACTGTAATTATATGTCAAAATGTGTTAATCTATTAGTCTTCAACTGGATTATGTTATCTATATTTTTCAAATATCATTGACAAATCCATTTTTAAATACATGTTAGTTTGTAAAATCAAATGCATGTTTTTAGATATTTAATAAAATATGTAATGCTTACTTTTATCAAGTGTGAATATATGATACAAAAAAATACATTCCACACAGGTACTTCTTTTCATCATGTTTCAGTTAAAATGTGGCTATAAATACATATACATTACAATGTTTCTTTTGTTTTATAATACCGTTGATTTGCCTATTTTCTTAACAATATTTGACTTTGTAAAAGTTACAATTCTTAGATAAATTATAAAGCATCACAGTATAATTGTTTGTTTTTCCTTTAGTTGATGAGATAATAGCAAATTATTAGTAGTACATAGGATGTAAAAGTCATTTTGTAACTTTAATTGTATTCATGTGATACAGACTGATTACTGTGGAAGGTTATCATTTGTGTAAAAATTCCAAAAGAGGAAAGGTCTTTAACTTATTTTAATACGTCGCAGTTTTATCAACTTTTCATTACTCCATTTATAAAACTATCTAAAACAAAACAAAGATGATAAGTTTATGATTTATATAATTTATTTTTCACTAGCTGTTGTATTTTTTTGCGCGGAACTCTAATTCTTATTCTAAAATAAAAGTAGCCAAGCTACTCCTTATAACATCAGCTATATGCCAGTGAAAGTGCTGTCAAAATCGGTCTAGCCATTTCTGAGATGAGCCTGAACAAACAGACAGACAAACAAAAATTAAATAAATGTTTTTTTTTGTTATAAGTACCTTGTATACTTTCATATGAATTTAGTAAAAAGATGTTATTTTGACATTACAAACAGACACCTCAATTTTATTTATTTGTATAGATTACACGCTATCAAAAGTCCATTGCTGACAATAAGTTATTATTTTCAGTTGTGAACAGGAAGATGCTGCTGACCATCTGCGATTTCTGAAAAATATGTAACTGTATGCTTCCATACAATTATACTAGAGCATCTGTGATGTCATTCAATAACAGAAAATTATAGGATAAATGTGATATTTAAAGGTTTAATGTTTGTTTGTTACAAAGAATGAAGTGGCTAAAGAACAATATTTGCTTCCATAGAATTATACTAGAGCATCTGTGACATCAATCAATAACAGAAAATTATAGAAACCTGATATTTAAAGGTTTAATGTTAGTTTGTTCCAAAGTATGAAGGGGACTAAACAACAAAATGCAGCTTTACTAAATTTATTTTCCATTTATAATGAATAGGCCCAGACTAATGATGCAATTTAAGTCTTGGTTAACAGCACTAATTTTACCAAATACTACTAGTAACAGTGTCATTGTACATGAAATTTATCCTATAAAAGTTATTACTATTAAAATCATGAACCTTCAATTAATCTAATTTAACAGATTTTATAATGTTGATTTTCATTTATTTTTAACTCACAATGCTTCACAAGTGTGTGGTGCAGAGTATCCCTGTCTGTAAAATTAATTTTATTCAATGTCCGAGTAAATTTATGGATGATAAACGTTACTCTTTCATAACTAATACTAATTTAAATAACCATTCAACCACAAACAAAACACAACATAGAAATCACAAAATGATTTATACGCTAACACATCGCAGGATTTTCACTTCAAATCAAGGTCAGAACGCGTCACACTGTTAGTCTGTAATAATAGTCATTATTTAACACACCTATTTATATAATTTATAAGCTTAATTTATTATTCACTTTGGCTGCTCTATAGTGGCATTTGCTAGATCGGTCATTTTTGGGTACTTGACATTGTGCTTATCAAGCTCGCTCTGTGACCATAGGATCATCCGTAGGAGGCTGCACAGTTTGGGATTAGTGTACTCTTGGTTTTCCATTTTTAATATTGCAGCGTTTAGTTCACTGGCGATCTGTGGATTTAAAAGATAGAATTAGTATATAAAAATAAAATACATGCAAAACTATAATGAAATGACATGTAAAGGTTGAAGCTCCTTTTCTCAGGAATAGGAGAGCTGTTGTCTAAAGTGAGGCGGTTATAGGTTATTTTTTATGAGCCTTTTGCATCATATGCTTCTTTATGATTCCAGAAATAACAGACTTTCTCATGTTCATGAAGTGAATAGTTCATAAGCGCATTATCGTGCAGACCTGGATTTATGTCGGCATATTAGGATGGATTATCCAACACTAGGTTTTCTTCATTAGCTTGAAATTCAACGCCTTATTTCAGATTGAGAGAGACATGTCAGACATCTCTCACGTAATGCTGCTCTCTTTCAGCGGTTTATATTAGTATTTTACATAATCATACCGTCATCTATAGGGAGCCACAATATGTTGAATGTCCCAAAATCGCGTTTTATGATACACACGGGATGAAATATGCGGTATGAAATAGACAAGCAGCAGTGTTAGTCTGGTTCTGTTTTCTCCATAGCAGAGGGTAGTTTTATGAGCCATGCTACAGCTATATTACTTGGTATAGTTGTAGCACGAATGGGTCAGCTTGACTAGGGAAGGACCACACTCTCACAAAATACAAACATAAAATAGCAGCTTAATGCTACTGTTTCGTATGATGTGTGTAGAGAAACAGAGACCCTTTTACTCGAAACGAGGCATTCTATCTTAGTTTTCACGGTTGACAATGCATCTGCGTTTTGATTCGTAATAGAGACTAGATGTATCTACATGGCGGTCACATAATTAAAGACTAAAAGGCAATTAAAACAACAAAGTTTATCTGCTCTTTATTTGCTTGTTGAAATTTAATACGAGCTAGAAACAATATTAAAATCAGTCGAAAAATGTGAAATTCATTGTGAAATGTTGGAATTAGACATTGAAAATATACCTCATGTGTTCCGTAGACCACCATGACCTAAGCAAAGACTTGGCCAACTAATTAAAGACTCACAAAGTAAGTAATTATACAAAAAGTATATTGTAAATATTGAAATCAACTTTATTTTGATAAATTTAAGACATATTATAAAAACAAAAAACTACGTTATTAATATTTTGTCGCGTATCCTTTAGCAGCAATAACAGCCCGACATGGCCTTGGCATTGATGCGACCAGTTTATTGCAAGTTTCAATTGAAATTTGTTCCCATGCTTATTTAAAAGCCACATAAAGTTGGTGTATGTTAGTGGTATGTTTTGATGCCACTATTTTCTTGACGTGGTACCACAAGTTTTCAATGGGGTTGATGTCATAGCTGTACGGTGGCCAATCTAACACAGTTACTGACGAGCTCCTTAGGAATTCTTTGACAACTTTTGCTGTTTTGGGGCACTGTCGTGTTGGAAAGTCCAAACCACCGGCAAACTTTCCTCAGCATAAGGTATCATGACTTCCTCTAAAATATTCTTGTACTGGAATTTATCCATGTCCCTTTCTATGTTGTTGTCTTTTTATTTGACGGCTCCGTGGCGCAGTGGCTTAGCAATGAGTTGCTGCTCTGGGGGGCGCGGGTTCGAATCCCGCACGGAACAAGTATTTGTATGGCCTACAAATGATTGTTCCGGGTCTGGATGTTTGTCCTTGTGAAATTTGTGTTTGTAAACTGCCTCCACGATACAGGAGAAAATCCTAGTGTGGGGGTAACGTTTTTTTTTTAAAAATATAATATAAAAAATATAATATATGTTCTTGATAGGTCCTATACCATAACCAGAAAAACAACCCCAAACTTTAATGTTTCTCTGCCTCCATGTTTTACTGTTTTCGTCGTGTACTTCGGATCCATTTCTTTTTTAGGAGAATGTCTCACATACATTTTTCCATCAGAAGTAATCGTATTAATTTTCGTTTCATCAGAAAAAAGTACATTTTTCCACTCACGTTCTGTCCAGTGTTTATGTTTTTTGGCAAACACTAATCTAGCTTGGATGTTTTCATTCTTTAATAGTGGCACCTTACGAGATATTCTTCCGAATAAGTTTGCTTCACACAATCGCCTTCTTATCGTTCTTGCAGATACTCCTCTCAATATTTCCTCACCAAATATTTCTGAGCGAATCAGTTCTGAATCCTTTAAACGGTTTACTTTTTGCAAACACTATTCTTGAGTCTTCTCGTGGGGTTGTTTTTCTAGGTCTACTCTTCCTGGACACATGTTCAGTAGTATTAAAGTTCTTAAAATGTCGGATAACATTCGTAACCATATCTTTAGAGCATCCTAACTGATCTGCAATCTTCCTATATGACCAACCTTTGCCATAAAACTTGAGGATCGTCTTCCTTGTAGACGGATCGCAGCTTTTGTTTTTTCCTAATAACACTAATAAAATTTAATAATTTCTATTAAGTACAAAAGCTAGTTTTTATTTTTATTCTATGTACCGTGAAAATTCGCGCCAAATGAAAAATAACTTAATTGTTTTAACATTATATTTTAAAGTTAGAACACGAAACACACTGTCTTTAATTAACTGGCCAGCGGTTAGCTTGTCGAAAAAGTTTTTATTTTCTTTAAAAATGGAATAAAATCTCAACTATTGCTAAATATATGTTTTTGATGTTTACATTTTAATAATACGATCTCCGTGTAAAGATTAATAACTATGAAATATAATTAATACCTACTTTGGATACTCTACACGTCTGTAATACTGTTGTATGTGGTCACACAGAAGTGTCTTTAATTATATGACCACCACTGTAACTATGGGTCACAGCAACCACTTACTATCAGGTGGACTATATGCTCGTTTGTCACCCGTATCCTATAAAAAAAGAAGGATTAATGTGGCATATAAAGTAGAGGGCGGTGTGACCTTCTGGCTGTGCGCGGGCAGCAGCAGGTCGGCGAAGGGCGAGGCGTGCGGGTCGGGGAAGGCGAGCAGCGCCAGCGAGCGCTCGAGCTCGGCCAGCGCGGCGCGGTCGCTGGCGCCCGCCTCGGCCAGCGCCGCGCTCGCGAACGACAGCGCCTCCTCGGCCCGCCCCGCGCGGATCAGCTCCAGCAGCTGCAGTTGCTGCAAATCACACAATCACTATCACAACAATCAATGTATTATTAATAACAAAATTTATATATATATTCTGCAAACACTAGGAACAAAAACAAGCTTGTTGTGGCTACAGCTCCAAGAAGGATAGTTGCTGCGCATCACACAATAACATACAGTAAACACTAGGAGCAAACACAAGCTAGTAATAGAAAAAACATGTGTAAGTGTTGTGGAACACTCGGTTGGAATGAAGTTCCTTTTGTAGTATATTATTATTGATAAACATATTATATTATTGACTAACTGTCCCTCGCGACTTCGCCCGCATGGAATTTACTACGGTTTCATGGGATTTAAGTTTTTGCATGGAACCCTAATTATTTTTATAAAATAAAAGTATCCTATGTTACTCCTTATAACATCAGCTATCTGCCATTGAAAATCCCGTCAAAATGGGTCCAGCCGTTTCGGAGATTAGTCGGAACAAACAGACAGACAGTTTTTGTTATTAGTACCGTATATACTTACATGTGCATGCGCGTTTAGTAAAAATCTGTTATTTTAACTTTACAAACAGACACTTCAATTTTATTTATTTGTATAGATTAACAAATACAAATAAATGAACTACTAACGTCTATTAAAATGAAGCATCATTTAAAATAAAATAATATTTCATGGCAAGATAAGAAAAAGTGCGAGAGAGAGAAGGATATTATTCAATCTCACTTCCTTGTAGCCGTCAAGGCCGTATACACTACGTCAGAAGGGCTGTGACGGAAAAATCTTACACTTTCTCGCCTAGCCCCTATATGCTAAATTCGTACCATCTGATAAGTAACTTCATTCCAAAATATACAATGTCCATTTGTGCACATTAAATATTTTTTTGAAACAAATAATATAAAATGGTCATTATAATATTGATGTATACATGGTGTTTCTAGCTGTCCCTTAAAAACGGTGCTTAAAAATTTTAACACATATCACAAAATATGTCACAATAAATACAATTAAAGACAAACCTGTAAGTGGAAATAAAGATAACGATCATTGTCCAATAACTCAGGATGCAATGCATTGACCATAGCAATAGCCTCCGGTATCCGACCGCTTTGAACTGCTTCTCGGATCATTATACGCTCATCCAGTGAACTGCACAGTGCCGGCTCTTGTAAACCTGCCTCCTGTTGGAACTTCAGAGCTGCTTCTTTGAAACCTTCTGCAAATGAAGGTGCTTAATATATTGTTTTTATTTTTGATAAAGTACTCTTTAGGTGTTTGTGTATGTGACTTATGGCTCCGTGGTTGCATGTTGTAGTAGCTTTGATAAACAAGCTCACAGTCCACCTTATAGTAAGTGAATACTGTGCCTCAACCATCCATTACCCCCTCAACAGTAAATATCATCCACTGTGGTGGCAGGGATTGAAAACGGTTCCAAAATACCGGTATAGAACCGGTATTTAGGGGTTTCGGTGCCTATACCGGAACAGGAACCAGAACCTAAATTAGAACCTTTAAGAACCTTAATTTTACCGGTTCCTTAGCAAAGCGAAAGCGAGTCCACGCTTGTTTGAGGAGCAGTCGGGTGGACGGCGCGATACGGCGCGCGGCGGAGTGTGAGAAGAGGGAAGTTTGTAAAATATCACATTTGTATTGGTGGATCTTCTGTTGAATATCAACGGAGCGTTGCCAACTGTACGGATTTTTCTGTAGATATACGGAATTTAGTCATCATTAACGGAACTACGGAATTTTAGGTTGCAATCTACGGAATTTTTATATACTTAACAAGATTATTTTTATCATGAGTGTGAACTTGCCGACAATGTCATTTTCTCTCCTTCTAATGTTGTCTGTATTAAATTATATTTAATAATTAATTTTATCTTATCTGTATTAAAATAAAACCATTTTTACTCATAAATATCAAATTTTTGTGAGGTTAATAAATTTCAAATGTTAATTGTTTAAATATTTTAAATTAAATTACGTTTGTTTCGAATTTAGAACACTTCTTGGGAAATAGGCAGTTAATATAAGCGCTTATAACATTTTTATAAATGATTGAATTGTCAATCCATGCTATCCCATTTGTTTTTACAATTATTAAAAAAATTCTGCCGAATTATTCTTCACTTTTCCTTGATCTTTTTTTCGAATTTCTCAAAGTTCTTAGTTTTATAGTTTTTCATTGAAACAGAAACAGAAACTTTTTATTCAATATAGATTATAAATAATACTTATTAAAAGTCACTCTTTTGTTTGATTACCACTGGTTCGGAAAAAACCTATGTCCTGGGAAGAACCAGCAAGAAACCCAGCGGGACTTTTTTTTTTAAATAACAGCTTACAATCATGATGTTACACAAATTAACAACACAACAAATTAGAAATAGCTTGGTAGCGATCACCTCATTTCCAGGGGTTATTATGATCTATAAATTCCTTAATATTATAATAACCCTTTTTATACAAACTTAGTTTAATAAAGTTTTTGAACTTTGAGCAGGTCAAACTTTGTATATTTTCTGGAATTTTGTTGTAAAAGCGTATACATCGCCCCAAGAATTACTGACTCGATGGAGTCGAGTAACTGGTACTACTAGCTTGTGACTGTTCCTAGTATTTACAGAATGAATATCACTTATTTTTGTAAAACTACTTTTATTTTTGTGTACGTACATTACATTTTCATAAATGTATTGAGAGGCCAAAGTTAATATATTAATTTCCTTAAATTTTTGTCGCAGCGACTCTTTAGGCTTTAAATCATAAATTGCTCTTATGGCCCTCTTCTGTAAAACAAATATAATTTCAGTGTCAGCTGCGTGTCCCCATAGCAAAATACCATACGACATTATGCTATGGAAATAACTGAAGTAAACTAGTCTAGCTGTTTCAACACTGGTTAGACTTCTAATCTTTTTTACAGCATATGCTGCAGAACTAAGTCTGCTTGCTAGTTTTGATATATGGGGGCTCCATTGAAGCTTCGCGTCTAGTGCGATTCCAAGAAAAATGGTGGTATCTACAAGACTCAGTTTCTCCCCATTTAAAATTACATTAGTATTTAATTGTTTGACATTTGGAGTCACAAATTTCATACATTTCGTTTTAGTGCCATTTAAATGCAAATTATTAACATCGAACCAATTTACTAATTTAGATATTTTTTTTTTTTTTTTTTTTTTTATAGGATAAGGGTGACAAACGAGCACACAGTCCACCTGATGGTAAGTGGTTGCTGCGGCCCATAGACATCTACATCTATCCTCTGTTACAAATCAAAATGTAGATGCGTTGTCACCCGTGAGGACTAAGATGGAATGCCTCATTTCCAGTAAAAAGGGCCTCCGGCCACCTGCACTCACCAAGCGAAACGCAGAGGTAAACTTCTACTTCACGCTGGTTTTCTGTGAGGTCGTGGTACTACCCCGGTTCGAGCCGGCCCATCCGTGCGACAGCAAAAGCTGCCGCGTGGCTCTACCACTGTTAGCAAAAGCTGCCGCGTGGCTCTACCACTGCATTATTTACTTCGTCATATTTTAGTAATTGTCGACTTAATTTGAAAATTAAAGAAGTGTCATCTGCAAATAATACTATATCATGGTTATCCCCTACTATGTAAGGTAAGTCATTAATGTATACAAGAAACAGAAAGGGGCCGAAAATTGAGCCTTGAGGCACGCCCGTTAGTACCATCGATCCGGAAGAGCTCATATTGTTAATGACAACTTTTTGCGTTCTCTTACTTAAATATGAAATAATCAATTTAAGAGCATCACTTCTTACACCGTAGTGTTGAAGTTTCCTGATTAATGTTTCATGGTGAACACAATCGAAGGCCTTGGATAGGTCACAAAATATACCCAAAGCATCCTGTGAATTCTCCCATGCATTAAAGATATATTTAATCAGCTCAACACTGGCATCAGTTGTCGAGCGACCCCTTGTGAAACCAAATTGATTTTTATGAAGTAAATTATTTATATTAAAAAAATTTAACATTTGATCAAGAACAATTTTTTCAAAAATCTTACTAAGTGTTGGTAGTACAGAAATAGGTCTAAAATTGGCGGGGTCTAATGTTCTACCAGATGTAAATAAAGGTATTACTTTACTACGCTTCATTAAATCAGGAAACACACCAGATTCGATACTAGTATTAAAAATAATAGCTAAATGAGGCGCGATTGTATCTATTATAGACGCAATAACTTTAACTGAAATCCCCCACAGATCCGCAGTTTTTTTAACATCAATAGTTTTAAAATATTTTACAATATCTTTTGATGACACTTTATGAAATGTAAAATTCTTTGTACACACATTTACATTTTGTTTAAGTAATGATTCGGCGACGGCAGGAGAAGAATTCAGTGACTTAGTGGTCAAGATCGGAATATCAGTAAAATATTTCTAAAAAACCATTGCTACGTCCTGATCTGATTCGGTTAATTTGTTACTAACACTTAACTGGTAATTTGAATTGCGAGAGTTGATCTTACCAGTTTCGCTATTAATTATACTCCATGTCATTTTAATTTTATTGGAAGCCGTCTTAATTTTGTTGCTCAAATGCAAAGACTTCGCTATGGAGCACACTCTTTTAAATATTTTTGAATATTTTTTTACATATTCCCTAAATTCGACGCTATGATTATATGACCTTTCATGGTAAAGATCATATAACCTATGCCTGCTCTTATAGACTCCTACTGTCACCCATTCATTGAATGACTTGCGACTGTTCAAGGAGAATGTTTTAGAAGTAAAAGTATTATTAAATTCATTGCAAATAAGCTTAAATAATGTTCCATACAAAAAATTTGGATCATTTTTGTATGAAAGTGATGGAAGTTTTTTCACTATGTTACTTCTAAATTTCTCCAAGCGACGTGCATTTACTGGAACAGACACAACTTTCTCATCTACTTGCTTTTTGTGAACATAAGGTAACGAAACTACTTGTCCACAGTGATCAGAACTTAATTTTTGAATTATACATTTATGCAACGGCTTCACATTTGTAAAAATGTTATCTATACATGTTGCACTAGATTGAGAAATACGCGTTGGCTCTATAAATAAATTAAAAAGACCATATGATTTAAACAATGATCTAAATTTAATGTTAATTGAGGATTTGAGCCATTGTTACATAAAATAAGTCTGAAACGCCGTAATATATCAAATAAACTAACAAAACCAGAAAATAAAATCGATGTTAATAAGTCGTTATAATTAAGTTTGTAACCTATTTTTTTTTTGTATAACTATCCACAAATATTAAAGTGTGTACAGTTATTTGATTTGATTTTTACTAAATTTTTTTTTATAGAATAGGGGGCAAACGAGCATGCGGCTCACCTGATGGTAAGTGACTACCGCCGCCCATGAACAACCGCAAACCATGGCTGGGATCTGCCTCCGAAGGGCACCACAGAGGATGGAATAAAAAGTTCCATACCCTGAAGTACCACATCAGCACCAGAATCGGCAACAACACTGGGATCTTCCGGCGAGAAGCAAACCCACCCCCAAGGGTAGAATGCAAGAAAAGACCGCATCCCGTCCCAATCGGCCGACCTTTAGTGCCAAACACAGCGGCAGGCTGCAGATCGCAACTGCGATTGGAGCGTGAGTGGCACCGTACTCCGGATCAGACAATGGCCCGAAGAGCCCAGAGGGGCATCGACGGAGACCTGATATCCGTCCGGATGAGAGGTCAGCAGAAGATCCAACAGGGAAGGTATATGATCCTGCACATTTGGGATCCGCGTAGGCGAAGTAACCAGTTGTGTTAGATCATATGCCAAAGCAAAGTCATAGACAGATCTACTCGCATGATCGGTTAAACGAGAACCAAGCCATTCAGCGTGGTGGTGGTATAGAGGCACCCGCAGACGCGCGGATGGTCATCGCTGTCTACGCGCAGCCATAGGATGGACAGGTCCGTATCTTCAAGACTGCCGAGGCATCGAAAACAGATGTTCTCTCAGACGTATACGCAAACTCCAGCCCGGAGCACAAAGGAGTGTTCTAATTTGTACCCCGAGTAGGAGAGATATGAAGTATCAGCCAGAGAGGACACCTGAGTCTCGATTAAATAGAGCAAGGCCGGCTTCGCCGTCTCTAGATGGTAATGGACAGCGTTAAGGTTGGAATGAAGTCCTGATGTTACAAAAATTGACGGATAGCGTGACAGGGGTCCTT